AGAAAGTGGTCTATTGTGTGATAAAGTAGGAAAAAAACATTGATCTTGAGTCAGTGAACTCTTAAAGACCAAATAGGATATAATCAACAGAGGAAAGCACTTGAATTAAGAGAGTTTGGAAAAGATCTCTTGTACTTTATTCATGAAGCAATCCAGATGAGACTTGAGATAGAGGTGAGGAAGGAGATCATTCCAGGCACAGAAAATAGCAAATGAAAATATCCAGATCACCATGACATGAGACGTCTTATTCCAGGACCAAAAAAAGGTCATTGTCTATGGATTGAAAAATATGTTTGGGGAAACAGGGTATGAGAAGACTGAAAGGTGTGGTTTAAGAAATTTACTTTGGCATCTGAATGAAGATTGACTGGAGTAGAGAGAGACTTATGGCAGCCGCTACACCAAACAGCAAGTTTAATACAATAGTCCAAGTATGAGGAGATCAGGAAAGGTATTAGTGAGATAACAGTATCAGAAGAGAGATAGAGGTATTTAAGAGAGGTTGCAAAGATAATATCAACAGAGATACTGAGGAATTGAGGATTGCATCTGTTTGTGAGCCTGGGAGACTGGGATGATGATTGTACTTGGAACAAGTACTGGTATTACAAGGGTACCAAGAAGGTACACTTGACAGTAATAAGGAAATTTGGAAAAGAGAGGTCTTAGAGGGATAAATGATGAGTTTAGTTAGGAATATCTTTAGAATAAGATACATAATGGAAATTCAGTTCAAGATTCCATTAACAGGCATTTAGGGAAGTAAAACTGGAGGTCAATGAAGAAGTTAGAACTAGATAGGTAAATTTGAGAATTTTCAGCATAGGAATGATAACTGGATCCACAGGAGTTGATGACATCACCAAATTAGATAGAAATCAGCATAAACAGTAAGGATGGGCCAGTGGAATACTATCCCCATCCCTTCCTTGTTGCATCTAAAGGTAGGCCAAGGAAAGCAAGGGAGGCACTCAGATCCAACACTTGGTCATTTTAGAGCAAATAGCAACGAGCAAATATCTTCCTAGAAATCTTGGACTCCAGAGATGATGAGGATGGCTAAGATTGTTCTCAGAGTGGGGATTAGTGCATACCATGCTAGTCATGACTGAGTGATAAACACCCAGAACCTCAGATGAATCTGTGTGAGAGTGTTTGACAAGTAATTATATTTCACATTTTGCTTCCTTGATTCTTTCAATAGAGCAGAAAGTTTTCTTACTCACTTTGGAGACTACTGAATGCATACTTAATACCAGTGTAGGAGAACATCACAAAAAGTACTAAAAACACAAGGTGGAGATTCCTCATGGTGAGGGTTTGCTGGAACCTGGAAATTTTAGGAAACATGAGGGAAAGACAGATCAGCAGAAGACAGGACTGGATAGGACAAATAAGGCTAGACTAGGCCATGTCACACTAAACTTACCTAAATTCAGTTAATATTAGCTTCTAAATACCTGAAGCTAAATGAAGGTACTTTCCCAGGATTTTATATTTATAGGTATGGGATATTGCCCAACAAGGCATTAAAATTTATATGCAAATGTTACAATCCTTAGTGAAATTCTAAACAAACCCATGTTACTTAACTTGAGGAAGGTCTAAGTCATGTGGGTTCCTTTCTCTCTATTTATGACTGTAAATGGATTGGGAACAGGAGGTTCAAGTTGAATGTTTAGCCTACAGCTACTTCTATCAGAAGCAGCTCCTTCTTGTACAGATGGTTCTGGACCAGCATTATACCATCTGGAGGTGATGAACAATTTCTCAACAGGTTTCCTAGAGAACCCATTGAGAATCTCACCCATCCACAAAACTGGTGGTCAAATATTTTGAAAGACTGATTAAGAAGGAAATAGTAGTTTGATTCTTAGCCAGTTTCGGGAACCATGTGCTGAATAGTAACACCTCTAACATGTAGAGAAAAAAATCAAAAAAGAATTGTGAGTGATGTAAGAAAATTATGAAAAGAGAATCAACAGTTTGGTAAAAGAGGCAAACAAAAAATACAGAAGTAAATAAAACCTCAAAAACAAAAGTGGTCTAATGTCCACTAAAGCAATAAAAAAATCCACTGAACTGAACTACTTAAAAAGCAAAATTGACCAAATGGAAAAAATAGGTACAAGATTCACTGAAGGAAAGAGCTTCATAAGAAGTAGAATTGGCCAAATAAAAAAGAGGTAGAAAAACTCACTGAAGAAAATCATTCTTTAAGACTTAAAATTGGGCGAGTGAATGCTAATTAATCCGTGAGATATTAAGAAAAAATTTTTAAAAAGGAAAATAAAGAAAACAATGTGAAGTTCCTTTTTCTGAAAAAATAACTAACCTAGAAATAAGATTGAGGAGAGATAATTTAAAAATTACTGGACTACAAGGAAATTATTATAAAAAAGAACCCTAGACATCATATTTCAAGAAATTATGAAAGAAAATTGCCCTGATATCCTAGAACAAGAAAGCAATATAGAAATTCAAAGAATATATTGATTACCTCTTGAAAGAGAACCCAAAATGAAAATTTCCAATACTGTTATAAAAAATTCCAAAGCTGCCAGCTCAAAGAGAATATATGCAAAGAGTCAGAAAAAAATTGAGATATCACAGAACCATAGTCATTATTACACAAGATTTAAGAGTTTCCACAATAAAGGAGTAGAGGGGTGGGAATATTATATTGAGAAAGCAGAGGAGCTAGGATTACAATCAAGAATAATCTATCCAACAAAACTGAATATAATCCTTCAAGGGAAAAATGAATATTTAATGAAATGGAAGATTTTCAAGCATTCCTAAAAAAATACCAGAGCTGAATAGAAAATTTGATTTTTCAACTACAAATCCCATGAAAAGTCTAAAAAGATAAACATGAAAGAGAAATAATAAAGGTGTCAAGAAGGATAAAACATTTATACTCCTATATGAAAAGATGATAATTATAACTCTTAAGAACTTTATTATGACAGTTAGAAGTAGTTTACATAGAGAGTGGGCACAGATGTGAGTTGATTGTGATGGAATGATTTTAAAACAATTAAAGTTTGAGAATGAAGGATGCACTGGAAAAAAGCAGAATGAAGAGGAAGAATGTGAAGAATTATCTCACATAATAGAGGCATGAAAGGAAGAACTTTTAAATGGAGGGGACATGGAGATGGCAGGTGATGCTTAAAACCTATGCTCATCAGAACTGGCCAAAGAGGGAATAACATGCATGCTCAGGTGAAGAAATCTTTCTTATGTTACAGGGGAGTAAGAGATGAAGGGAAAAGAGAAGTGCAGTGGACCTGATTGAAGGGATGGCAGGTTAAGGAGAGAGTGATCAGAATAAAATCAACTTTTGAGGAGGGTCAGGGTAAAAAAGAGAGAAAGATAAAGAGGGTGGGGAGAGAAAGAGGGATATTAAGTTAGTATTCAAAACTGATTGTAAACAGGATGACCTCATCTACAAAAAGGAAGCAGACAGCAGAATGGACTAAAAATGAAAATCTAGCAATATGTTAACAGGAAAGACACTTGAAGTAGAGAGTCACACAGTAAAAATAAGGAGTTGGAGCAGACTCTATTATGCTTCAGCTGAGCTAATAAAAAGCAGGTATAGCAAACATGATCTCAGACAAAGCAGAAGTAAAAGACCAATTTAAAAAAAACAAACATAGGAATTACATTTTGCTCAAAGGTATCATGGAAAATTACATCATATTAATACTAAACATATATGAACCAAATGGTATAGCATCCAAATTCTCAAAAGTAAAATATTTTACAGAAGAAAATAGACAATAAAACTATACTAGTGGGCTATCTCAACTTTGCCCTTTCAAAACCATTAAAATCTAAACATAAAATAAGCAAGAAAGAAGTTAAGAAGATGAATAATTTTTTTTAGAAAAGTTAGATAGGGTAGACTCCTGCAGAAAAATGAATAGAAAGAGAAAGGAATATAACTTTACCTCAGCTGCATGTGACACTTTCAAAAAATTGTTCATATATTAGAGCATAAAAACCTTACAACTAAATGAGGAAAATCAGACATATTAAGTACATCCTTTTCAGACCACAATCCAATAAAACTATGTTAAATAAAGGACACTGGAAACAGATTAAAATTAAGAGGAAATTAAACAATTTAATACCAAAGAATGAGTGAGTCAAAGAACAAATTACAGAAAGAATAAATAATTTCATTAAAAAACGACAAAAATAAGACAACATACCAAAATGTTTGGTATGCAGCCAAAGCAGTACTTATGAGATTTTTTAAAAAAAATTCCAAATGCTCATACCAATACAGTAGAGAAAGAGTAGATTAATGAATTTGGCAATTGACTGAAAAACCTGGAAAAAGAATAAATTAAAATACCCAAGTAGACACCAAATTGGAAATACGAAAATCAAAGTAGAGAATAAAAAAAAGATTGCAATAAAACCACTGAGCTAATAAAGAAAACTAGGAATTGCTTTTATTTAAAAAAAATAGAGAAAGAGATACTTCTGGGAGCCAGGACAGTGGAGTAAGAAGTAAGTCACTCTCACTCTCCCTTATTGACGTTGAAAAAGTCAGAAAAAACTGCCCCAGGAAAAATCCAGGAACAGTGCAGCCAGCAGAAAAACAGAGTGCAGCAGTTTTTAAACTTGTAAAGCTAGGGGAATTGTAAGGATAAGATCCATCTTGCTGTGACCTCCCAGCAAGCCAGCGGCAAGCCCCCACCTCAGCAAACCAGCATGAGATCCTGAACCCCTGGGAGTTGGAGTGGGCAAGTGCCAACAAGAGGACCCCCATGTGCCGTGGCACAGCCAGGAAACCAGTAGACACCAGCACGGAGAACCGCCACTTTTGTGGTGGACAGGTGCCCAACAGCGGCTGATCCTAACCGTGCTCTAGCACAGCCCCAGGTGAGGAGGCAACATCCAGCCGCCAGAACACCCCACCCCCAACCCCTACCCCAAGAGCTTCAGTGAAACCCTGGGGAAATACAGAAAAACCCCACCTGGCCTCGGCACACACCAGCCAGCACCGCTAGCTCCAACTCAGCACCGGGTAAGCTACAGCCTCTACATCCTCCAGCTGCTAGAACCAGAGGCCCCAGCACACAAAGCCAGTAATCGCGCCCCTAGCTCCCAGCACAAGAAGCATGGAACAGTGCCCCATGTGACCCAGAAGAAGAGATCAACTTTTAAAAAAAGAGAAAAAAAGAGAAAAACTTTTGGCTAATTTGATATGAGAAAGAAAATCAAATTGGCAATAACAAAAATGCAAAAGGTGAATTCACAACCAATGAAGATGAAATTAAAGCAACTATTATGAAAAATTATTCCTAATGATATGCCAATGTACCTGACAATCAAGACTTCCTGGGGCGCCCTGGAGACTTGTCTGAAGGACAGGGAACAGTTCCCTTTGGCCATATGTCCACTAGAGTGTTCCCTTCCCTCGACCAGTATTTCTTCTTCCACTTCAGTAATGGGTGTCTTTTGTGTAAAAAAAAAAAGTCTCATTTCTATTTCAGACCAAAGAGTTTAAAAATGAGAGACATTAGAATTTATTTGTCAAAAGAATGTTATTTCACAGATGTGGAAATTAAGTCCAAGAAAGAGGAAAAATTTACGAAAGCTACATAATTATTGGAAGTGTTAGACTCAAACTAGAGGCAAAGGAGTTTATAGGAGTGGTCCTTTCTTTCATTAGAAGATGGCCTCTGTCATCATATTAAATAGTGAAATTCCAGTGTAACCATTGGTTCAAAGGACCAGTTGTATGGCATTCTCTCCTCCCTGGTGGAGATTTGCTATTTGGCATTATATATGTTACTAGCCATATATGTGGAAATGGCTGAACAACAAAGAAAAAAAATCTAGATATATAGAAATATATTTAGGTATCTATGTATCTATCTATCTATATCTATATACATGTATATATATATATATATATGTGTATATACAGAGAGAGAGAGAGAGAGAAAGTTCAAAACCTCATTCTATCTTATATTGTACCTTTATCCCCAACTTCTTAATCCTAGTGTCTGCTGCTGATTGTGCCACATTTGTGGCTATAAACTAGGAGACTTAAACTCACAAATCATAATCCCATGTTTCCATAAATGTCATAAAATTAAATAAACTTATATAGTTATAATCTCATGTATTCCTCCAAGGAGACAAGCCTTATTAAATAGGTCCTATATGTAAATTAAGGCATGTTACTGTTCAAACTGCTTAGAACGCACACATAATAATTTTAGAGGGGAAATGTAGATATCAGAAAAATTGCCAAAAAACTTAATAAATATAAAAATAATGAAACAAAAGACCCAAATAATACAATTATGACCATCAATATCAAATAACAGCAATTCTCCTTGTGATCTAGTTATCCACTCCCAAGATTCAGTTAATCATCACATTTCTTTTTGAGTTCCAGATGTCCCATATAGTCATCTGGTCCCTTGAAGCATTTTAAGATTTAGATATATCTTTATACATACATAAATACACATACATACATATATATTTATCAGACTTGTTTATAGTTTTGCTTTCATATCATCCACCTTTCTCAATATAACCTTTCCATCACCCCCTTCCACAGAGCCATCCCTTAAACAAAAGAATAAAAGAAGAGAGGGAAGAAAACAATTCAACAAATAACCAACTCAGCAGCAGAGTACAGCATTGTATGCACATTCCATCCCAGTAGACTCCCAGAATTAAAGGGAAGGAAAGAATGTCCTCATTGATCATCTTTGGGGCCATGCTCGGGCATGATCTTTTCACAACATTCAGTTGCAGATGTTGGTTGTTCTCTTCATTTATATGGTTGTCTGTGGTGCTTGTTTATCTTGTTTTCTTCATTTATTTATTTTACTTTGTCCCAGTTCGTGTAAGTCTTTTCGTGTGTATCTTTATGAAACTGAGTTGTGGTTTCTTTTAACATTATAATATTTCATTGTATCCATAAGTCACAGTTGGTTTAGCCATTCCCCCCTCGATGGACATCTCCTTTGTTTCCATTTCTTTGTTACCAAAAAATTTTCTTTGTATTTCAATTGGTATGATACTGAATAAGTAAGCTAATTTAGGTAGTATTGTCATTTTGATTATATTGACTTGACCTACCCATGAGCAATGAATATGTCTCCAATTGTTGAAATCTCCATGTAGTAAAAAATGTTCTGTAATTGTGTTCATATAGTCCCTGTGTGTGTCTTGACAGGTAAACTCCCAGGTCTTATATACTCACCACAGTTACTTTCAATGGAATTTCTCTATATCTTTCTGCTGGATTTTGTTGGTTGACATATTGAAAAGCTAATGGTTTTTGTGGGTTTATTTTCCATTCTGCAACTTTGTTGACATGATAGTTTTAACTGTTATTTTGTGTTTTTCTTCTGTTTGTTTGTCTGTTTTTTTTTAGTTGACTCTCTCTCAGGTTCTCTCAGTAAACCATCATTTCATCTAGAAAAAGGTGCAGTTTTCTTTCCTCATCGCATTTTTTCTCTTCAGTTTCTTTTTCTTGCCTTATTGCTATATGTAGCAAATGATGTGTCTAGGACAATATTGAATAGTAATGGTTATACTGGACATTCTTCCTTCAACTTGATCTTATTGGAAAGGCATGTAGCTTATCCCCATTACAAATCATGCTTGCTCTTGGTTTTAGTTAGATAATACTTATCATTTTAAGGAAGACCCCTTTTATTCCTGTACTTTCTCATGTTTTGAACAGGAATGGGTGTAATATTTTACCAAAAGCTTTTTCTGCATCTCTTGAGATCTTATGAATTTTGTTGTTTTTGTTATTGATAGAGTCAGTTATGTTTATCATTTTCCTAATAATTGACCTAGCCCTAAGTTCCTGGCATCAATCCAGCCTGGTCACAGTGAATGATCTTTGTGATATATTCCTGTAATCACCTTTCTAGTATTTAAGTGTTTTTGTTAATATTCATTATTGTTCTATAATTGGGTAAGATGAATTTCTGTACCTACTTATGTATGTATATGTATTATTCCCTCCTTCAATCAGTTCAGATAAGAATAGGGTTTAAGTATTGTCTATTCACCTCTTCTTTGTCCCCTTCATTGTATAAACTCTTCTTGTGTACCTCATTTAGATGAAATAGCTTTCCCCATTTTTTCTTTCCTTCTCCCTCTTCCAGTGCATTTCTCTTCCCCACCTTTCCATTCTTTTGAGATCTTCACAACATAATAGAATAACACCCAGGCCACTATCTAATTAGACTCCCTCTAAAGCCCCTGGTGATCACAAAATTCTGAAGCGATTGCATGCCTCATCTTGCCACACAAGAGATGTAGACAATTTACCTTTGTTTAGTGCCTTGTGATTTCTCACCCATGTTTACCTTATTATACTTCTCTTGAGTTCTGTGTTTGAATGTCAGATTTTCTATTACACTCTGGTCATCTCATCAAGAATGCTTGAAAGTTATCTATTTCAAGAAGTGTTCATATTCCCCTCTAGGAATATACTCAGTTTTGCATATTCTTGCAATATGCTTGGCTCTCATCCTAGATCTTCTTCATTCCAGAACATCATATCCTAAGCCGTGCAATCTTTAATGTGGAAGCTGCTAAATCTCATGTGTCCTCACAGTATTTGGATTATTCTCTCTGGCTGCTTCTTCTTGAGCTTCTCTGTTAACATAGTAGTTCTTTAAGGTAGGATTACATTTTCTGGTTCACTCCTTCTTCCAGCCTATTTCTTGACATGAACTCTATGTTGGTGTTGGGCTCTGATCACCTCTGGTTCACCTCCAGTTTAGCACCTCAGTTCAGTCTCCAAGTTTTTAGTGCTTCTAAAGTAGTATGATCTATTCATTGCTCTCTTTGCCTGAGCTGTGCAAGTTCCTGATCCAGCTTTGGGTCTACTGACTTGTGGGTGGTTGAGTTTCTGTAGAATGTTACTGGACTCAGTCACTCTTAGGCCACTTTGAAGTTCTGTAGGGTAAGAGGGCCCAAACTTATTGATGCTCCTTGTGTCTGGGTCTCCTGCCCCAAGTATTCCACTGCAGGCTCATGTGCAGGACTAAAGGTTAGCACTGAGCACCCAGCTGTGCTCTGAGGCTCAGGCTTCACTGCTCTGTTTGCAAAACGTCTTTCTCGGTCAGTGCTCAGCTAGGGCCTCACTCACTGGCTCACTCACGCCTGCTCATCTCTGCCCTATGTCTGTGGCCCAGAGGTGCCAACTGGCCTCATTCCTGCTCCCAGCACTAGTGCAGAGTCCTCTGGGACCTCCTTCTCCCCAGGGGTTCGGTCCCATCCCTTTTACCATCTTTGGGCACTGAAAGGTTTCCCACTGTCCTGGCTGCCATTATGCTGGGCCCCTACACCAGTGTCCACAGCCCTCTCTGATTTCTTATGCTTCCTTGGCCTGGAAGAATGACTCACAGGGACTTTTGTCTTTCCTGATCAGAATGTGGTCTGGCACATTTTTTAGGTGGTTAGAGAGGAGGTAGGCTAGGCTCAGCAAAAATGCTGACCCTCCCTCTGCTATCTTCGCTCTGTCCTGTGCTGTATGAATGCTAAGGTGTAGGGTTGGGGACCTTCTGCATGCTTGGCCTCCTTTGCACCTCTTGGGGAGATCACTGACCCAGCCTTTTGGCCTGAGTTCTCTTAGCTTCTTTGCCATTTCAATCTTTGAAACCCTGGCCACCTCAGGTTAGGCCCTCATCACTCTCTGCTGGGTCAGTGCAGCAGACTCCTGAGTGGCCTCCTTGCCTCCAGTCTATTCTTCACTCTGCTCCCAAAAGAACTTTTCTCAAGCACAGAGCAGACCAGGTGACTTCCCTCCTTAGCCAACTCCAGGGGCTCCCCTTTGCCTCCAGGGAAAATAGCACCACTCTGTCTTTCCTGTCTTAGCCTCTATGGGACTCAGTCCTCCTTCCACACTCGGTGACCCTGGTAAAATGACTGACCCCAAGCTGAGAATTCATTCTGTGTTCCCTTTCCACTCCCAGTTCTATACCCCCTCCCCCCAAGATGGTGCCCTTTCTTCCAATCAACCTATCAATCCACAAGTATTGATGAAGCACTTACTATGTGCCAGGTCCTG